TCGCTTGATTCACCGACCCAGCGACCCTGGGTCTCTGGGTCGCTTGATTCACCGAGCCAGCGACCCTGGGTCTCTGGGTCTCTTGATTCACCGACCCTAGGGTCTCTGGGTCGCTGGATTCCGACCCAGCGACCGCTTGGGTCTCTGGGTCGCTTGATTCAAAGGCGCAGCGACCCTGGGTCTCTGTTCTTTGGATACACCGACCCAGCGACCCTGGGTCTCTGGGTCGCTGGATTCAACGACCCAGCGACCCTGGGTCTCTGGGTCGCTGGATTCACAGACCCAGCGACCTTGGGTCTCTGGGTCACTGGATTCAAAGACGCAGTGACCTGGGTCTCTGGGTCGCTGGATTCACAGACCCAGCGACCTTAGGTCTCTGTGTCGCTGGATTCACAGACCCAGCGGCCCTGTTTTTTCTGGGTCGCTGGATTCAAAGACGCAGTAACCTTGGGTCTATGGGTCTATCGCAGTACAACTCGAAGTATAACTCGCAGTAAAACACACAGTTTAACTACAGTATAACTCGCAGTATAACTCGCAGTATAACGCGCCAGTATAACTCGCAGTATAACTTGTAGTATAACTCACAGTATAACTACAGTATAACTCGCAGTATAACTCGCAGTATAACTCACTGTATAACTCGCAGTATAACTTGCAGTATAACTCTGCAGTATAACTCGCAGTATAACTACAGTATAACTCGCAGTATAACTCGCAGTATAACTTACTGTATAACTCGCAGTATAACTACAGTATAACTCGCAGTATAACTCGCAATATAGCTCGCAGTATAACTCGCAGTATACCTCGCAGTATACCTCGCAGTATAACTCGCAGTATAACTCGCAGTATAACTACAGTATAACTCGCAGTATAACTCGCAGACCCTCGCAGCGGCAGTATAACTCGCAGTATAACTCGCAGTATAACTCGCAGTAACCCTGGGTCTCTGGGTATAACTCGCAGTATAACTCGAAGTATAACTCGCAGTATAACCCGCAGTATGACTCGCAGTATAACTCGCAGTATAACTCGCAGTATAACGCGCAGTATAACTCGCAGTATAACTTGTAGTATAACTCACAGTATAACTACAGTATAACTCGCAGTATAACTCGCAGTATAACTCACTGTATAACTCGCAGTATAACTTGCAGTATAACTTGCAGTATAACTACAGTATAACTACAGTATAACTCGCAGTATAACTCGCAGTATAACTTACTGTATAACTCGCAGTATAACTACAGTATAAACTCGCAGTATAACTCGCAATATAGCTCGCAGTATAACTCGCAGTATACCTCGCAGTATACCTCGCAGTATAACTCGCAGTATAACTCGCAGTATAACTACAATATAACTCGCAGTATAACTCGCAGTATACCTCGCAGTATAACTCGCAGTATAACTCGCAGTATAACTCGCAGTTTAATTCGCAGTATAACTCGCAGTATAACTCGCAGTATAACTCGAAGTATAACTCGAAGTATAACTCGCAGTATAACCCGCAGTATGACTCGCAGTATAACTCGCAGTATAACTCGCAGTATAACGCGCAGTATAACTCGCAGTATAACTTGTAGTATAACTCACAGTATAACTACAGTATAACTCGCAGTATAACTCGCAGTATAACTCACTGTATAACTCGTAGTATAACTTGCAGTATAACGTTCAGTATAACTCCCAGTATAACTACAGTATAACTCGCAGTATAACTCGAAGTATAACTCGCAGTATAACCCGCAGTATAAACTACAGTATAACTCGCAGTATAACTCGCAATATAGCTCGCAGTATAACTCGCAGTATACCTCGCAGTATACCTCGCAGTATAACTCGCAGTATAACTCGCAGTATAACTACAGTATAAACTCGCAGTACAACTCGCAGTATAACTCGCAGTATAACTCGCAGTATACTCGCAGTATAACTCGCAGTATAACTCGCAGTATAACTCGCAGTATAACTCGCAGTATAACTCGCAGTATAACTCGCAGTATACCTCGCAGTATAACTCGCAGTATAACTCGCAGTATAACTCGCAGTATAACTCGCAGTTTAATTCGCAGTATAACTCGCAGTATAACTCGCAGTATAACTCGAAGTATAACTCGCAGTATAACCCGCAGTATGACTCGCAGTATAACTCGCAGTATAAACTCGCAGTATAACTCGCAGTTTAATTCGCAGTATAACTCGCAGTATAACTCGCAGTATAACTCGAAGTATAACTCGCAGTATAACCCGCAGTATAACTCGCTGTATAACTCGCAGTTTAATTCGCAGTATAACTCGCAGTATAACTCGCAGTATAACTCGAAGTATAACTCGCAGTATAACCCGCAGTATGACTCGCAGTATAACTCGCAGTATAACTCGCAGTATAACTCGCAGTTTAATTCGCAGTATAACTCGTAGTATAACTCGCAGTATAACTCGAAGTATCACTCGCAGTATAACCCGCAGTATAACTCGCAGTATAACTCGCAGTATAACTCGCAGTATAACTACAGTATAACTCGCAGTATAACTCGCAGTATAACTCGAAGTATAACTCGCAGTATAACTCGTCCCGTTCCAGCGACACTGGGTATTTGGGTCGCTGGAATCAAAGACCCAGCGCCCTGGGCCTCTGGGTCGCTGGATTCAAAGACCCAGCGACCCTGTGTCTCTGGGTCTCTCGATTCACCGTCCCAGGGACCCTGGGTCTCTGGGTCGCTTGATTCACAGACCCAGCGACCCTGGGTCTCTGGGTCGCTAGATTCAAAGAAAGAGCGACCCTTGGTCTCCGGGTCGCTTGATTCACAGACCCAGCGACCCTGGGTATCTGTGTCCCTGGATTCAAAGAAACAGAGACCCTGGGTCTCTGGGTCACTGGATTCAAAGGCCCAGCGACCCTGGGTCTCTGGGTCGCTGGATTCATGCAAAGAAACAGCGACGCTGGGTCTCTGGGTCTCTCGATTCACCGACCCAGTGACCCTGGATCTCTGGGTCGCTGGATTCAAAGACCCAGCGGCCATATGTCTCTGGGTCGCTGGATTCACCGACCCAGCGACCCTGGGTCTATGGGTCTCTCGATTCATAGACCCAGTCAAAGACGCAGCGAACCTGGGTATCTAGGTCGCTTGATTCTCCTTCCAAGAGAATATGAAATCTCCCATAAACACCCCTAATAAGTTGTTTTGGAGTAGAACGAACAACTTTGAGAGCTGTCAGCGTTTTTTTAATACAAAATGCAGGAAATTTGACGTTTGAACGCTCTGTGTTATGGTTCGTAAATTGCATCATTGAGGGGACTTACGAATATTCCTACACTCCTAACACAGAGCGTTCAAAAGTCAAATTTCCTGCATGCATTTTGTTTTAAAAAAATGCTGACATCTCTCAAAGTGGTTCGTTTTACTGCAAAACAACTTATTAGGGGTGTTTATGGGAGATTGCTCTTTCTCTTGGAATGTTTTTTGCCATTTTGTCAGTTCTCCAAGAGTGAATTGACTCAAATTTTCACCCTTGCAGGGCTATGTATGGAATTTTTTTTATCTTTTTAATGGGTGGAAAAGTTTGAATTTCCACCCATGTGTGGGGTCACGTGTCTAAAAATGTTAAAAGAAAATTCACGAAAGTCAAATTTACACCTGTTTTTGAAGAAAAGAAGTAGACCAATTTTTGGCAAAGGAAAATCCAAGCTTAAATCAAAGTGTTTCCGCTTTTTCGATTAGCACAGATTCATTGATGCGATTTCTTAAAAAAGGAGCTAGAAATTGTCATTTTCAATATAGCTTAATGTGAAATTAACTAAAATTACAGCATTGTTATACATGGAAACAAGTATCCTTTCTTCACAGAGGGTAACCTGTGTAGCAAGCTGCCAGGTAAAATTTGTTGATTAGTTTATAGTTTTTCAATTTATTCTGGTTGGTTTATTAGTTCATTTTCAATTAATTCTGGTTTAGTTTTATAGTTTTTCTATTAATTCTGGTCTGGTTGGTTTAACCTGGGGTCCAATCGTGATTTCTAATCATTCTGTCAGTGGAAGACCAAAGCAGGCTTATAGCCAGGCAGCCAGCCAGCCAACCACCCGCAGGTTGGTCATAGAGCTGGCGGGATAGAAATGTGTACACATTTCTATTTCCTGGCATGATGTCGCTATTGTGGTCGGGACCGGTCGAGGGGAACTCCCCACTCCGAACTGATCCAAGCAGCCATCCGTCGGGGGTGCAAAGCCCCCGGCTCCTCAGGGGTAGCCAGGGGACGGTCCCTGCAACGGCTTTTATGCGACCAGCCTGACCTTATTAGTTCATTTTCAATTAATTCTGGTTTAGTTTTATAGTTTTTCGATTAATTCTCGTCTGGTTGGTTTAACCTGGGGTCAAATCGTGATTTCTAATAATTCTGTCAGTGGAAAACCAAAGCAGGCTTATAGCCATGCTTATAGCTAGCCAGCCAGCCACCCACTCACAGGTTGGTCATAGAGCTGGCGGGATAGAAATGTGTACACATTTCAAATTTCCTGTCGCTATAATTGTGGTCGGGACTTGATCGCGGGGGTGTCCCCACTCCGATCTGATCCAAGCAGCCCTCCGTTATTTAACCGTGTTTAAATAAATGCTTTCATCATTATCGTCGGGGGTGCAAGGCCGCCGGTTCCTCAGGGACCAGAATTAATTAATTTAATTCAATTAATTTAATTTTGGTTGGTTGATTAGTAGTTTTATTAGTTTATAGCACTTTTCGTGAAACGACTATTGAATACAAACCATTGTCAGTGTCATGTAGAAAATTAAGACGACCACGAAGCTTCAATTAACATTACATTTTGTTTCCGGTTTGCACTAACTGGCCACATTTCGACAGCTCAAACAACCAGACGCAGCGGGGGGTTTTGAGGGGCGGGCGGCATTCAAAATTTCGCGGCATCCTGGCAAGATCCGTACCGATCAGAGCCAAGATTGGTTAGTTAAAAAAGACGTTTCTTACAGAAAAGACTGAAATCCCAAGTGGACTAGTGGTTATAGGATTCGGCGCTCTCATCACCGCGGCTCGGGTTCAGATTCCCGGCGTGAGAAATCCGGACAAAACAAATATACAAGGAGACAGTTACATGTAGTCTCCGTGATCGCTTCACAACAAGGGAAGGTCATACGCTGCATTTTGGGAAACGGAAGGATGATAATAAATCTTTTTCCAGACGATTTTAAAGTGTACAGTCGATTCGTCAACAGTTTTCATTGCTGGTAATAGTTTGTATTTCGACTCGGTCAAAGTAGACGAGGCTCCGGGGTATAAAAATAAATAAAAATGAGGATTTGGCACTGCTTTACTAATTGTAGACACTGAGGCTCGGGGGGCATAGCCTGTAAGACGCAAATATGAATAACGGATATTGAAACGAAATCAACTATGAGTGTATTTCTATCGGTGGACAGCAATATAATTAATGTGTACCCTCTCTAAACATTTTGAGCGTATATGATAGTCCTCCTGAGTATGCAATTTCTTGGACTGCGGTCGCCAATCCAAGATCAATAAAACCACCTTGAAAAGGCGCACATCAAAATAACCAATCGGAGTTAAATAATTGACTTCCTTAATTGATAAAATTGTGTTTTGAAAAGAATTCGCTAGGAAATCGTTTGTCATGGAAAGAAAATGAAGCTTTTTGGTTTATTCCTTGTCGCTGCGATTTGTATTTGTTTAAATGGAACCGTTAATGGTCGTGGTGATAATTTCAAGAAGTACATGAAGCCATGCTTTGTTGGAGATGAGATTGAAAACATGTGCTCAGAGCCAAGTGAATCGTGCCACGAGAAATTAGGAACAGAGTTGAAGCTCGTCCGTTTGGATGGAGTAAAGGTACAATAATTATAAATTTTAGAAATACGGTTGTAGGCTACTCTCAGTTCTTCATCAAGGACGGTTCACTGACATCTTATATTTACCCAGAATACAGGAAATATCGGGAAACCTGTAAACAATTGAAAACAGAAAACCGGTTGCATAGAAAAGGTTGCAGGTTGATGAAGCCCCGATACTAGAGTCATTGAACATATATATCTTTATATTTTTTATTTACTTCATAAACCGTTCTAGGCTTGTTGGATGGATGAAAACTTTATTTAACCAGGGTGGCCCATTCAGCAACTAGCCGGGCTGGTATTCATAGGGACCTTGGATAACATAAAATCTAATTTTTACAATATAAAATTGTAACCGGAAGTGATAATAAAAAAAGCTGAATAATCCTAATTACTGCATGAGAATATACAAAGATACAAATTACAAACGACAACTACGTCGTTATACGTTATGGACCTTGCTGCTTTTGCGCTCTTATTAATTAACTGCCTAATATATATTTTTCCTTCAACGTCGTTTTCAGACAGGTCACGTGCAGTGGATGGAGGTCGGTGACGAACAGAATTCTCTTCCGCTCATAACACGAGCAATGACACCTTTGGTTTTCGGTATGTGCAATACATTTTTATCAAACACCATTTGTTCTGTTATTTTCTCAACTTTCTCTTATTTTTCTTATCATTGCTATCAAAAAGCTTCAGCCGTTTGAAGCTATGGAGCATTTATTTTACAGCTACCAATTGTATTTTGTGTGATCTTCAAACCTGGGACAGAGCTATGCTATGATTAGATTCCAACATTTAATAAGTAAAACATCCTTCCAATCGAAGACATTGAGTTTTTCAACCTCACGATTCTCTTAGACCATACGTCAGAGGATAGAGTGGTTCGTGTCGAATTTAACGACAATGGCGGACAAGTCGGCCCGACGTTTTTTCAATCTTGTACCCAGAGTCAACGGTCTCCTCGGTCAGCGGGTCGTTGCCAGGTTAGACTTTCTAAAATTCAAAATTCCATTCCCCAGAGTCTAACCTGGCGACGACTACAGCTGACTGAGGAGACCGTTGACTCTGGGCACGAGACTGACGTGCACGTTCCTTGGTTTGCAGTGTGCATGTGTGAGTCGTGACATGATTCATGATTCTCAGTATAAGTTATTGAAACTTGCAACGTGAGGTATAAGATGACCTTTAGTTTCACTGACAATAAAAAAAAACGGTAACCAGCATGCCAATGAAGTAAATTACAAAGGACTGGTTTTTGCATTCATAATTAAGAAATGAGCGGCGTCTTTGTGTGTACATCTGGTAATGGTAATGGTAATGATATTTATTTAGCGCATTTTCCAAAGTTCAATGCGCTTTACAATTCAACCCAGGGGTGAGATCGGACACCAGCTTGTAAAGGCGCCTATGGCAGCCGCTATCAGTCCATTCATGATCTCACCCCACCCATCCAACCCAGTCTATTAGAATATTTTATGCTTAAAGCTACCTCTGCTACAGTTTTTTAAGTCAATTAGAAATTCTCATTCACGCTTTTTATTATTGTCAAGAAATTCCCGAGTTTTTATCAGCTGAGGAGTGTGATCATATCATCTCACTGGCAAAGAACAGCGGACTTCAAACAAGTACATCAGGTTTTACTACGTACGATGGAGACTTGGACGAGGATTTAGCGATAGCTGGTGAGGTAGCGTTAAGCCTATTCTGCCTGGGGGGTGGGTGCAGAAAGTGCTCGCGCTGATTTCAAATTAATCGTACTTCTGAAGAGCATTCAAGCAATCATAGCCAAACTTTATCAATTTTCCTAAAAATTATCTGGGAACATTTTAGTGTGTCAATGTTTTTATCACGTGACTTGACGTTTCCATGACAACCAAGTTTTGACAGGCTGTTTTACCCAAATTTTCAGTTTCCATGAGATTTCCTCTTTTTACGAAAAGTTTATTTCAAAATCTTTACATATTTTGCGTGTTCCCGATTTTTTCAAACCAAATTTGCTGATTTTCTGACATTTTTGAACAATTTTAAAATCCAAGATAGCGGATCATGGCGGATATTCTTAAAGTATGATGTTATTTTGGCGTGATATGATATCATAATTGATTTGTGATTGTTACTAAAAACATGTTTGCATGCTTTATACAGCACATAAGTTTCAATTTTATAGCACGGATACTTTTCGAGATACAGATCGTTTTACCCAAATTGGTGCTTTGTAGTTTAATTTTCAGTTTTCATGAATTTTCTTTTAACGATGAAATCCTTCCAAAATCTTTGCCGTTTTAGCATTTTTATATTTTTCTTGACTTTTTCAAATCAAATTTGGATTTGGATTCAAGATGGCGGATTTTTTAAATGTATGACGTCATTATGGCGTGCATAACGTCATAATTGACACGTGACTGTCACTAAAATAAACATTTTTGGGTGCTTTACACACCAAATAAGTTTCATTTTCATAGCGTCAATACTTTTCGAGATATATGGGGGGGGGGGGGGGGGGGGGGGGGGGGCACTCCCCAGCTGGCTCACGAACGAACTAAAATCCCAGGCAGAATAGAGTTAAAATACTCTAACTTAGCATGAAAATCGTCATGTCCTTCGTTGAAATTCGTTAGTAGTTATCTTTGGTTTCAGCGTAAAATTCTACGTAGGGAACTACTCAGAAGGTTTTTTCTGTTCATGTACTACAAGCCAGTCAAACAGTCAGTCAGTCAGTCAGTCAGTCAGTCAGTCAGCCAGTCAGTCAGTCAGCCAGTCAGTCAGTCAGTCAGTCAGCCAGTCAGCCAGTCAGTCAGTCTCAAATGCTCCCATTTTACGTCCTTTTTGCGACATATGGCAAAGATGGGGCAGCCGACGAGCTCTCATTAACAACTTAACATTTTTTTTCAGATAAGGACTGGACCCTAACACCGGAGCAATCATTTGCTGGAAAATTTGAAGTTTGGGATACAAATGGAGATGGTCTTGTTAATGTGCAAGAGGTATTTTCAATAGTATTAGTGTTTAATGAAATTAAATCATTGATTTAAAAAAACTAGTCTCAGATATTTTCAAGCTTAGAAACAATAAAAAGAGATCCGAACATTGTAGCTTGCTCTATTCTTAAATAAATATAAAGTTACGTGTTTTTTATTGAAGGTGAGGGCATTTGCTGGGAAGCACAAGCAGCTTTATCTGACAGATGATGAAGTAGGAGAAATGTAAGACGGATATTTCTTTGTAATAATTTGCGATAAAATGTAAAACAATTATACAGATTTTTTAGTTTGGTCAGCGTTTGTTCAGTAGAGAAGTACAAGCTGCAGCTTAGTGGGCAATCATACATACCGTTTTTGTCGCATTCTAAACGTATTATCCTAATGGATTACTTTCTACCGTTTTAGGTTTGAACGCCTACAAATCAATAACAAACTTCAGGCTGGTAAGTAGATAGACAGGTATATAAGGGAGTGCCCCCCCCCCCCCCCCCCGGACAGGTATATAAGCGTCACTTGCGTTTCACGTTCGAAGTACGTTCTACCGTGATCTGAAATAGGCGACTGCTTACAGTCTAGAAGATGACCAAGACTCATTGACTACGCAAGGCCCGTGTAGACTACAATATCCTTCGTACTTTACCGAGCCGATGACCGGGGGTGGAGGAATCTGCCCGCGTGGACTTGACCATTTATAACTTTTTATATTCAAGCAGTTGAACCTCTCTAATACGGACAACGAAGGGACGCAGCAAAGTGTCCGTATTAGAGAGATGTCCGTATTATAGAGGTTTTCTTTATAGAGATTATATGGGAACTAATTTTTACGGGACCAAGGGAACTGTCGGAAATAGAGAGGTGTCCGAATTAGAAAGGTGTGCGTAAGGAGAGATTCGACTGAGCTGCTAAACTTTTCGACTTTACCTACAATTGATCTGAAAACAATTTGCTATAACACTTCATTATTCATGGACTTGCCGTTACTATAGCAACCATATTTCGACAGGCATGTTTTTCCAAATTTTTAAGGAAGAAAATATCACTTTCTTGCAATATTTTTTGTATTTTGTAGATCATTCTAGCATCATCGGTTTTGATTATTTTTGAGTCATTTTTTGTGGTTTTCTGATCTTTTGGAACAATGAAGAAATCCAATATGGCGGATCAAAGATGGCGGTTATTCTGAAATCATGACATAATTTCTACGCCATATGGCGTCATCATCTC